GCTGCTGAAAGTATGCATGTCGAGTATGAAATCATAAAAGCCATTCCCTTGTCGAAAGGAAAGCCTTCTTCTCTTGATATGTCAACGGAAGTCACAGAAACGAAAGATGGTTTGACAAATGTAACATTTACTATTGCAAAGGATGCGATAATCGTTGCTAAAGGATCCGTTACAAACGGTTATCATGCACACAAGCACATAGTTCCGATTGAGGATGTGCGTATACGTACTGGCAAACATATGGAGCGTGAAGAACTTTACAGCGAGTTGGCAAAGTATGGCTACAAATACGGTCCGCCAGTCCAGGTCCTGGAAGCTATTACTTTTGATAAAGATGAATGTACTGGTTTCATACACCTCACTGAAGAGGTAGCAAAACAGGTAAATCAAACTTCCTTCCATCCCGCTATTCTTGATGCCATGCTGCATTCGAGTGCACTTAATTTCCTTTCCAACCAAAAGGAAACTTCTTACAAGATCTATCCGATCCGTGTCGGCAGCGTCGCTGTGTTGAGACCGTTTGAAAAAAGAATGATGTGTTATACACAAACCATACAGAAGGTATACGACAGAATCATCACCAACATCATTTTGACAAGATTGGATGGTTTGGTGCTGGCTGAAGTTAAGGAAATTGAACATCGGATCATGGATGGTAGCATAGGAGTAAATGACCTGGCTTATCAGATCGTCTGGACTGTGGAGGATATTTCCAATATAAGGTACGACACAACAGATGACCTAAATCAAAGGGTAACCATTTGTTATGATGACAACAGCGTCCTCAATACACTGAGGACTGTGTATCCACGAGGAGAATCATTTCAATTGCGAGACGTGGCAGCCGACCCGGCACCCATGCTATCCTCAACAGACACAAACGATGTCGACACAGTGGTATTTGTACCAGATTCCAACGTTGGCAACCAACGCAAAACAGGTGACGAAATATTTTATAAAGTTTGCGAAAACTGCGAGGCTTTTCTGAATACCATGAAAACGCTGAAAGACATGGACAAAACTATAGTAATAGTTACTGAAAACACACAAGCAAGTGGACCTGGAAAAGATACCAATAGAAACGTCTTTGGTGCTGAATTATGGGGTTTTACCAGATCTTTGCGTCAAGAGGGAACAAAATGTCGCATGATCCTGATTGATGTCCAGCCTTCAATTGCCTCGGAGGTAAAGACACTATACAAAACCATTCAAGTTCTTACGTCTGGTCAAGTTTCTTCGTTCACCGAATGCCTCATCGCTGACGGACAGCTGCACAGTAATTTCTTGCAGCGGAGACCTCAAAGTGGTTTACAGAACGAGCACAGAATATTATCTACTGACACAAATATTGACCTCCAGTTACGGTCAACCACGACGGACATCATTGAAAACCCTTTCTTCATACCTGGAGATAGCTCATGTGAAGCAGAAAAAAGTAAAATCAGCCTCTCGGTCGATGAGATATGTATTCATTCACCAAATGAATTTCGCATTACGGAGTTAGATTCAAGTCTCAAAAAAACGCTTTGGTCCGACTACAAAGACGGGTATCCGGTTATAGGATTAGAGTTCCAAGGAACTTTGCATGATTCAAAAACTGCAAATGAGAATCCGAAGCAGTTAGTAGCATGTTACCCAACCAAGGTGGGCAATAGGATATCAGTGCCTGAGCAATGTGTGTGTGACCGCGCAAGCTTGCCGATGTACACACCCGGACTCATAATAACGTCCATGCTGATGTGGTCTATCACTCAGAGAGTCAAACGCAATTCTACAGTTTGTATTGTGACTGACTCTGATCCGTCTGATGACGCAGCAATTATCCTACTTTGCGACATGCTAAGTACAGTCAAGCACAGCCAGGTTCGAATCGTATCAATAGATACTCTCAATGCAGAAAGTAAAATTGAACATGGTGTGTTCGTAATATTAGAAAAGTATTCACACACAAAATCAGCAAGTGTTCTACGGCCAGGGAATACCATAATTGGCTTGGACGATGTCCTTTCGTGCTTGTCAAATCAAGTTATTCAGTTGAGCTCCAAGCAAATTAAAGTTCATGTCATTACAAAGATCAACGTTTTCGAGGAAACCAATGTTACAAAAACATTCCCAAAAGTAAAACGTTGGTTGACACGTTGGCAAAAACGGCATCACTTGTCTGAAAATGCACAAAAGTCACTACAACTGAAGACCATAAAACTCTCAAAGGCAAAAAGTGGAGGAAAATCGGATATGAATACGAAGGCAATGGGAGACAAGCTCATCCAAAACAATGCAACGTATGTGGTTGTTGGTGGACTGACAGGCCTGGGTTGGGAAATTGTTAAGTGGCTGGGCTTCAAGAAAGCTGGCGTAGTAGTGACGCTCTCAAGGAAAGGCCTCAATTCAGAGATGAAAGAACAGCTCCAGAACGCAATGGACATACACAAATATAAAATTGTACCGATGAGTTGTAACGTTGCAAATTATGCTGATGTTGAAAAAACGTTTTCAGCCATCAAATCACAATTTCCTAATCATCCAATCAAGGGCATATTCCAGGGCGCTGGAGTGCTAAGAGATACACGCATTGAAACCATGACTATGCAAAAGTTCAGGGAAGTTTTGCAGCCAAAGGTTTTGGGAACATGGAACTTGCACCTTGTATCTCAGGAATTACTTCTGGATTACTTTATTATGCATTCCTCTACAACCTCTGTCTTTGGAAATGCCGGTCAAACCAATTATGGAGCTGCCAATTCGTTTATGGATTCATTGGCCATGTACAGAAGAGCCAATGGTCTGCCTGGACAGACCATCAACTGGGGCGCATTGGCGGTGGGTATGGCAAGTGATGAAACCATTCGAAGTAATCTAGAAGCACAGGGATATTATTTACTGGAAACAGACAAGATAAGGGAATGCCTGATGGATTCCCTAATTCAAAACCCGTGCCAAATTGTGTACGGTTTGTTTGACTGGACCGTTATAGGAACAAACCCCGCCATGATGCGGACCTCTACTGTTAATCAGGAAGAAACAGCTGTAACCAGTAAGTCTGGTCAACGACGTGTCGACAACGTCGTGCTCGACATTGCCAAATTCTCTGAGACATCATTTGAGGATCAGAGACAGACACTCGCACAGTTATTGCTGAGCAGCATATCCAGAGTGTTGTCGATAGATGAGGGTGAACTGGAAGAAAAGCAAAACCTTCTTGGCTTAGGCATGGAGTCACAGAAAGCCGTGGAATTAATCCAGGTGGTGAAGGAAGCAACAGGTTGCCGACTTCCGGTTGCATACATCTTGTCTCCTGATTATACCATAGGAATGCTCATTGATTTTGCGCATTCTAATATCATAGATAACTTCAACAAGGAAGCAACTGGTAATTCAGAAACAAAGGAGGACCTATATGGATCACCCTCGTGGATGCAAAAATTCTACATTGACATGCACGAAAACAATTCTCATGACTCAAGTCTTTGGTTCAGCATTGATTTCAGACTAGGACGTGGTCTATCCAATGTAGATCTATGGCGTGCTGTCTTGCGATGGACCACAATCAAAAACCCAGAACTCAGAACTGTGTTTCGTCCCACTAATCAGCAAATTAGGTTTGGTATGAAGAACACTGTTCTTGATCCAGAGGATGCAAAGATCGACATACGTGTTGTAGACTCCTGTGTGTTAACGAGGGAGTGGACAGACCAGGACATTAAAAATTATTGTACATTCGACATTACAACAGATCCACCAATACGGGTTCTCTATGGTAACACTGGCAAAAAGAATATCATCAGGTTCATCATGAGCCACGTCACCTTCGACTTACAGAGCTTCCTCATACTACTTCCACAATTTCGGTCGCATTTCCTGACGTACTTTTTGAAAAGGGATGTCAATGTTGAACCAGTGGAAATACCAGATCTACCTGTGCTGATGGAAGAACGTATGGATGCAGAAAGGTTTTATCTGGAGGATTTTTGGAGAGGAGAGCTGAAAAAGATTCGTGATGTACCGTCTCTTGTTGGGCCTGACCCACCTGTTCTTAACTCACAAAAGACAGAGAAAGTATCGTTGGAGTTCCCAAAAGAACTGGTCGATAAAATCAATAGCAACAACCATGGTGTAACAGCACCGATTCTACTATTCAGTTTGTACCAGATTCTTCTGCACAAGATGACATGTGTAACTGCCATTCCGGTTGTACTTACGGTTGACATGCGGCGGCACTTTCCGGAGTTCATCGACAGGATATTTCTTGGCACCAACTACATACCAGTCATCACAGAATTCAAAGACACACAATCCACTCTACGAGAATGCATTTCAATATGTGCAAGCCAGGTGACACTCACTAGTGCAAGTAGTTTGTACCCATACATGCTTATTACGAAAAATGAAGCTTATACACAAAACAGTTTTCGACATTTCTTCAACGTCAGAGAAATATCCTTTCAAGGTGACCGAAACGCACAGTACGCCGACTACTACATGGAAAATGCAGGTTACAGTACAGACTTCCTGAATGAAATCGAGACAGCCTTGAATGTCGTAACAGACCACCAGGCCGGATCGATGGAGTTGGTGTTGAGTTTTGATCCGGCTATAGTAAGTTCGTCGACAGCAAAGAGAATGCTGGATGATCTCCTATTGTTGGCCTGTGTGACTGCGGCGAACACAGACTTCCAGTTAAACGAGATTCCCTTAGAATGCTGTGGAACTGATGTTTCAGACAAGTTGGATCACCACTTGTCGACAGGTAATTATATAGTCTGCATTTCAAGTTGATATAAAGGTGATATGACTTGTCGATCATTAAACTAATTTGAATGTATAAATGACAGCAAAGCATTCTGAAAAAGCTTTTGATATAAATATCCCTGGTATATATATTGACAAAAGAATTCGATATTTTAGCAATAATGCCATGGCGCCGAAATAAATACTTCGAATTTTCTTGTTTCTATCTTTTTATGTAGGGGTTCTTTGGTTTCTCTGACTTAAAGTCATTGAAGAGACCAATATTGATCGGATCTCTCTAATCAAGTCTGTCCTTTAGACGGTGTCTCACTAGGAACCTGTCTTCATATGACCTAAGCTGCTACGATGACGTAAATCCCAAAACAAACACAAGTGTCCCAAACAACCATCGGGCAGCTTATAAGACTGAAATCATGGCAGCTACTTAATAATAGAGCTGCTGTTACCCTCTGTATGATCGGGCGATTATTGTCGACTGCCGAATTAGGGATTTGGTTTTGTGCCCTCTACATGGGAACCAAAAAATCTGCTTCACCCTTTGCAATGTCTGGAATCTTTATGTTTCTCTTTACTTCTAACTACATTTTGTTATTAGCTTCTTGTTTGGCATTTCCTCACATTTGGCGTTATCAGGCCAGGACAGATGAAGTCGTTACAAATTCATGTTGTTATTTCCTGCTTAACGTTAGCATATAGGATAATTGCTGCAATTGGTTTAGCCGTTGCCAATATAATGTAACCGGGCGGAATGCTGTGATTGGTGCCTTCGGCATGGTATTTCAGAGATAGCACTATAAAGCCGGCATCAAATCCGCGACATTACAAGAAGGCAAATACCCCAACATACCCAGCCTCCTGTACACATAAACACATTTCCTCATACACAACACACACGGACATACGTCCTGAAATAACTTCAGCTGTTAATAGGAAATTAAAATCCTCCATCCTGTCACATCCTGGTAATTGGTAAAAACACTCGTTGAGCTAGCAGCCCTAAATGTTGAACATTTAGCAGGGAATAAAAACTATATTTTAAGAACATTGCTGTGGACAGTACACATTTGATACTGATGAAATTTGATTTCATATTGTTTTAAATAACATTACTTCCCTAAAGGATTGATTTGTTGTGGGTTTTAACGTCACCGCCTCCGGTCAAGTCATATGAATATGGGCATCAAGGTTGACATGACTGGTTCACATCGGCATTTTACAGTACCGATGATTTATTACTTCTGCATGTAACCAATAAAGGTTACAGATGTGTGGGAAGAAGAAATTGTTTCAGTTGATGTAGCTTTCTTTTTAACGAAATCAGTCGAAATCAAAGTTCACATACATCTACCTGAATTTTAATAAAAAAAAATGTTAAAATTGTGTTCCTATCTCTCCTACAGTGAGGTTTTCTAAGGAAACTTTAAAAGGTTGGGAACACCCGGCACAGCTGAAAGTAGGCTCGGTGCACACACTGCCACAGATAACGTGGAGTAATCCAGAAAGTAACGCTATGTCACCTGACAGGACAATCCCAATATCATGTGTTCTTGATGCGGACATACAGAAACTATCTGGTAAGTATGCTAGAGCATGCTTTTTCATGTGTATCACTATTAAAATCTTGTTATTCCAAGTAGATACGCGTTTTCAGAAACGGGCTATAAATCCAATGTGTTTTAGTTCAAAACTGCTTTTTTTGTATTATTGTTTGTGAGGTTAACCAATAATAATTTTCTAAAGTTTTAGACCTATAAATCTTACACTGAAAAATTGTTTCTAAATATAAACATTATGATTATTTAGCAAACTAAAGCTGTGTCTTTTGTTGCAGATACCTGGTGTCTAATTATCCAGACCAGGAAGAGGCAGTATTGCTTCAAGGCAAGTGACTTCATCATGGTCCGAGCCTGGAAAGCGAGAATCCGGAAACTTATGTCGAGGAGCAAGCGAAGCTCAAAAAAAATGTATTGAACAATGTACATGCGACATAGAGAAGAGCAAATATTGGACTCAATGCTGATAGGACAGAGGAAGGTGTTAGAATAGAATCAATCTTGTCGATAATGATACATTATGTATATATAAAAAGTAAGGACACATTACTCTCCTTATTGTGTGCACGGCTATTCTCACTGACCTGAATTTCATTGTATATATGTATATACGTGTATGCATTATTTATTTTAATCATATTTTCTCATTTCATAAATACAAATTCACAGAATTGTTAAGCATCCCATGGAACTACAGTTAAGGGGGTATAACTCTCGTTTTTATTTTCGATATTTTAACACAACGTTGAGATGAATACACATAAGAGACGTTTAAATGCACGATAATGTTGTACATGTGTAGCATTTCTTGACAATTATAGCTTTTCATTGTAAAGCAGTTTCGTTGATAAAGACAGTTTTCAAATTAATATTTACATTTATTCCGAAAGTGCTAGCTGGAGCAGCCGGAGAGGACAAGTTGTGTCTTGAGATACTACGGTACCCCGGGTCTGGGATTTGGATAGGGAAACGCAAAGGTTAGGGGCTGTTTAATGACAATCTTGTTATGTATATATATCACAATCCATTACATCAACTGGTGTTAAGCAAGCAATTAATATGAACCTGTTTAATGCAGTTTTGTACGTAATATTTGTGATGACGCCGATTACAAGTGCTTAGATATGTAGATACATATCAGTATATTATTAGTGTCTTATATTTTTTTAAAAATCAGCATATATTCTAATAGTATTTTATTCTATTCTTTAAATATAATCAATATTTATTTATTTTTCACAATTTTTACTTTTACTAGTATTGCGTATTGAACAAAGATTAATCATGTTTCAATCGAACCCCGGCCACCTTGGTGAAAGGCAAGTGCGCTATCCACTGCGCCGACCGACCACCCGACCACCATCCAATCAGGCACGCTGTTATTAATATAAGGTATAATTCGATGATATATACAGTTGTATTATCAGCAACTAATTTTAAATGATCGTCAATCTCCTATAGGATAATGAATATGTAATATGTAGACGGCGTTTATACATGTTTTGTTGTTGTTATATAATCAGTTAAAACAGTATAAATATCATGTACATGTATAAAGTATAAATATCAGGGGTCAGTTGGAGTTGAATTTCAATCTGATTCAAAATGTAACGTTTAAACAGAAAATCAGAGACGTCTTGTACATAAGCATGTTCTAAAATCAGCAAATATATTATAAATAACCAGTAAACGGCAATTTAATAAGCAAAATGTTTTAGTAATTATAAAAGTCAATCTTTGATACAATAAACCATGTGTTATTTATATAACCGGAAATTCGAAGACGATTGATATAGAATTGACTTGATATTCAATCGGTTTAGAATTTGAGTTCAATGTCATTTTTATAAACAATATGCATTATATGACCGGAACATCAGTGAACATGTTATAAAAATATGTTAGATAGTGCATAAACCAGAATTACAATTGAATCATATGTCAATCTTTTATACAATTAAAAGCATGTAATAGGTAAACTGAGACGATATATATGGGTTTTGCCTATGGTCTAATCGATGAAAAATTTAAAAACAAAATTGCATTCAGTAGTATTATCAGAATTAAGTTTGAATTGAAAGTCAGTCTTTTGGAGTTTTGGAGCTAGTACAGTTGACAGCAGTTTTATTGGTATTATGTTTTATTTGAAGGTCGATCTTCTATAGGAGAAATAACAAGTATTATATCATTAAAATTTCGGGGATGACTTATGCATGAATATGTTCTAAACATCAACATTAAGGAACCATTACCAGTAATATGTTTGCATATAATGTCAGTCTATAATACAGTAACAAACATCTATATTATTTAACCGGATTGTTGTGCATCATATGTATAATCATAGGTTGATCTAATCATAGTCAAGGAAAACGTTATATAAATCTGGAATACATAGACATAACCAGCAATATGTTGGAATTGAAGGTAAACCTGTACCCGGAAGTTCGGACACGATATCAATTATACTGACTTTGCATGTTGTCTAATCACTGAAAAAAATGGGATTTACTATCCATTAGTATTATTAACAATGAATTTGAATGGCGGTCAATCTTTAATAAATAAATAACGTGAAATGTGTAACCTGAATTTGGGTGACTTATATATATTGGGTGACAATATATGTATTGGTTTTTCCTGTGGTCAAACCAGTGAAAAATTAAGTATTCAGTACACAGTAGTGTTAATCTTATTAAGGATAAATAACATGTATTATATAATCAGAATTTCGGAGATGACTTTTATAATCTTTTCCTATATTCTAATAAATGAATACGTTATAAATATCCATGTTGCAGAACCGTAATAAGTGATAGGTTTGTGTATAATGTCAGTCTATTACACAGCAATAGCATATATATCATTTAACCGGATTTTCTTTAGATCACTTGTATAATTATAGTTGGATCTAATCATAATCAAAGAAATCTAGAATATAGTAGCAAAACCAGTGATACATTGTGTTGTACTGAAGGACGATCCTCCATACAATTAATGACATCTAATATTTAACCTGAGTTTTGGAGTCGATATATATTGTTTTTACCTGTGGTTGAACCAGTGAAAAAGTTAAGGATTTAGTATAGTCCTTTATTAGCAATACGTTATAATAGAAGGGTAATCTTTTTATGATTAACATGTATAATATAATAAAAAAAAGTATAATCTTTGCCTGATCTAATCATGATCAGTGAATGCGTTTTTAATATATAGAATACAGTAACATAAACAAAAATTCGTTTGAAATGTATGTCAATCTTTTATATTTACATTTCTTCTGAACTTGGACTCAATATACCTACTAAACATTTTAAAGGTTATTTTTCAATGAACTTTTCAGTTGGTGTATGAATACATCAGCATATTATCAACCTGATTACTCTGTTACATTTTGTATACCGCGTAGCGCCGGAAGTAGTTTTATTAATATATTGTTTTTAATATGTTGTATTTTTGTCAGAAGTATTCAATTAAATTTTAAAAAAATGTTTACATCTTATTTTGCTTACTTACCAGGACGACTTCTCACAGTGAGTGATGACGTCATAGGCTTTGATACCTTCCGTTGTGTTAGACTTGCACAAGACCGATATTTTAGAAATTATTCGAACAAATATCAATATCGCTTTGATTGTATATATAAGGATAGAATCCTGTTTTGTTGAGGTTTATGGGGTATTAACCTCAATGGGAGACAAATTAAAAATGAACTGCTTCAAAAGTTCATAAAATTTGTCTCAAGACCCATTGAGGTTTATACCCCAAAAACCTAAACAAAACAAGATTCAATCAACAGCATGATTAACGTTTATAACAGTGATTTTGGAGACAACTAGTTTATGCTTTGACATACAATACTGCATCCAGCACACATACACACATGCATGCATGTACAACACACATGGAGGCACGTCCTTATATGATCTTAGCTATTAATAGGACGTTCAACAAATAACACCAAACCAAACAATACTGCGTTTCTCATTGAAACCGATTTTGTTGAAACTGACAATACTTCAAATGAAGACGATATTATAATTGTTCATTCAGGCAGACTGGGGTTAGGATGGGTTTGTTTTGTCCAGGATTAAGCAGTGCGCAGAGAGAAGGGTATTTTTTTCTGAAGCTTTACACTTATTGCAGTAACACGTGCTAAAGCACGAATATTATTATTATTATTAATAATAATGCTTAGCGGCCCATTAACACAGGATAGGTCATTAGGGTCAACAAATGGTCGACCAAAAACAAATGCTAAATAAAAACATCAAACAAGCTTAAAGGTAAAAGACAAACATCAATTTAAATATTGAAAGTGGCTATGGTAACTTATTTTATTAAAAAGACCAACAGCTTTCAGTACGTCCGAGTGAGGCACATAATAGTTCACTGCTTAACTCTGCTAGAAATAGTTTTAGTTTAGGTAACTATTTCATGTTATCCTGCAAGAATTGATAAAGATACAATCGTTACTTACACTGCTTGTATTACGCCAATAACATGTCTTTGTAATATTGAATACACGGCTATTACTGCTTGTTCATTAACTATGAAAGTACGAAATAAAAAGAAGTTAATGCAATTTTTTGTTGAGCTTGTTTTGTAAATATACCAACTGAGAAGAACCATGCGATTTGAAAAAACTAGCGTACACTGCTTCGTGTAAACGGGATCATCATCGATACCGAAAAATGTTCACCGAATCCAGTGTTACGGATCTTATCCAAAATTGTAACAATACAATAGATTTCTTATCAAATAGCACAATCACAAAAGCCAGGGCTTACAGGATTGTCTACGTATTCTGTGGCGTTGGACCAGCATGGACAAAAATGGGAATGGAACTTGAAGGAGACTTTCCCGTATTCGCCGACACCTTGAGAAGTATTGATATTTATTACATACTTACTAAAAAAATACGGCTTTTTGTATATGCGATACGACACAATTGCTTTCACCCATATCAGCACTCGCCGTATCACACCCCTAAATCCGTATCAGCCCTCTCCGTATCAGTCCGCAAAACACATATCACACCCCTTTTGGAACACTTCTATTTTTTCCCATCTACCACCAACAACGTCATTCGGAACCCTTATGAAATTTTTCGCTTTTTAAAATTTCAAAAGAAAAATAGATCATACGATAGAAGATCTATCGGTATCTTATAAAAAGTATGCAATGAACAGAATATAACATGGCTTATTCCATATCACATCCAGTATCAACCCTCGACCAATATCAGCCCTCAGGCATTCGGCCCTCGGGTTGATATTGGAGTCTCGGGTTGATACTGGGTGTGATATGGAAAAGGGCATGTATTATTCTCTATATATCTGATCCCACTGATTGAATGGTCGTTTATGGATAAAATACGGGATGGTGTAGAAATGTCACAGAAATAGAGGACCCAATCTTTAGTCACATCGGTATATTTGCTTATCAAATTGGACTGTCGAACCTTTTGAAGTAATGGGGTATCTGTCCGGACGCGATCGTTGGTCAGTCTGTGGGTGAGGTGGCCGCGACCTACGGTGGTAGTGTACACACAAAA